CCTACATTACCAAATTTCCTGTGCAATTGACAGGTTTTTTTTGTCTTTCTTATCGAAAAGTTTTGTTTCTTAACTCTGTTGTTTTCTTTTTAGGTCATGAGCCTGGACTTGTACAGATGGTAAATTACTACAGGGGAGCTGACAAACTTTGCCGCAAAGCTTCTTTAGTAAAGTAAGAGCTTTGTTTAAGTTGTTAAGTAGTCGTGGTCTTCCCTACGCATCATTTTGGGGCTGGGGTAGGGGTGGGTTCCCTTGAGTGCCTTAGCCTGCTGGATTTGCAAAAGTTGCCCAGTGGGCTTGCTGTGACGGTAGTTCCCCCCCATCCCCCAGCAGGCTTAGTTTAAAGCCCAGTCCAGCAGGTCAGCCATTTTGGCTGAGAAGAGCATCCTCCTCAGTGCAGTGAGGTGGAGGCCCTCTCTTCCCAGCAGACCACTGCCTCTCTCGCCAAAGAGTGGACTGTGATCATGGAAGCCGAAGCCTTCACGATGAAACCAGCACCATAGTCTTTGGTTCACCACCGCAATCCTCTTCTCCCTCCTCAGCCCATAACCTGAAACCAGGAGGATCCAGCAAAACACCACCTGTGCCCCCAACCCTCTAAGTCCTGCTCCCAAAGCCCTGTAGCCTCTCATGACCCAGCTGGGATTGCTCCGAGCTGTGTCATTCATGCCCACATGGGTAAGGAGCATAGGGTAGTGGTCGGTGGGCCGGATGAGCTTCAGGATCCTCTCTGCTGCGTCCCGGATACAGGTTCCCGGGAGGCAGCAGACCTCCTGGGCTGAGGGGTTGGGGTGCCAGATTGCGCCCTCAGTCTCCCTCAGGAGAGAGTCTCCTACAATGACTACTCTACATGTGGCTTTAGGGAGAGTGAGGATGGTAGCTGTGAGTGGTCCTCCCTTGCCTGCAGGAGCTGGCAGCTCTGTAGACTCCACTGAGGCTGCAAGAGGTTTATACCTGTAGCAAAACTCCAGAGGGAAGGGGACCCTGGTGCAGCTGGCCTTGGGGCCATTGACTACCTTTGTCCAACCCCCTGGCTGAACAGTGTGGGAGATCCTCGAGTCCTCCCTTGTCCTGGAAGGTTACCTTGGTTTACCCTCGGCCTCCAGGGGGTGAAGGGCCTGGCAGTAGGAGTCTATCTCCTGCTCTCCATCCCTGATGGTACGCAGTCTTGACTGCATTCTGGAGCTCTTCTATTTGATGTCCCAGAGGCTCCAAAGTGGAGCACACCTCGCAAGGGGAGGTGGCCATGCTCTCGGTCCCATGTGCCTGGAATCGTGTCAGGCAGCCCCCACAGCCGAGAGCCGGCGGGGGGGGATATGGGGATCTCAGAATGGAAGGAGAACCTTGCTATATTCCCTCATCTCCTTTGGGTCCTAATGGACCTGATCCAAAGCCCTGCCAAAGACGGTGGAAAATTTTCCACTGATGCTGGTGGGTATGGGTTCCAGTCCTTCGCACCCTCTTGGAAAAAATGTGATTTGGTAACATCTTTATTAGAAAGAGGAGTGATCAAAAACACCAGTAGGAGAGAGGCATTTATATGAATATTAATCTTGCAGTACCACTATCATTGATAATTTTTAAATATTATATTTCAATTATTTTTCCCTCCAGTTTTTAAGAAACTTCATCAAAAATATGCATCGTAAAAATATTTAGTATAGACTGTGCTTAAACCCAGGGCTGTCCAACTTCTGAGTGGCCAGGGGCTGCACTAACCAATCCTCACCAGCAGAAAAAGGCCTAAAAATGTTAATTGTAATTATATTTATTTTAATTTTGTTGTCACATATGCTGATTTTGTATGGGTTTAACCAGTCTAACACACTGCCTCCTCCAACCAGGCTCATCAAGACCAGCCCCGAGTTATCAGAATCTTGCATGTGGTTCCCAGAGTCTTATGTGATATACCCAACCGATCTAAAGACTCCAGTGGCCCCTGCTGAAAATGGAATTCACCATCTTATAAACAACACCAGGACAGATGAAAGAGAAGTGTTCCTAGCATCCTACAACAGGAGAAAGGAGAGTGGGGAGGGCAATGTGTGGATAGCCAAGTCCTCTGCAGGTGCCAAAGGTTCGTTTTCTGTTGCAATACCCCAACTTTGCTTTGTTCCTGTTGTTTAAAAAAAACAGTATGTGGATGACCCATCACCCAGCTTTCACCCACTCAGAGTAGCCATGTACTCAGTTCTGCTGTATCTGCATAGCAGCTGTGGCAGCAAAATTGTAACGCTTTTTACTTAAATATGATACATTTTCCTGACTTCAAACATGAGTCTGTGTCAGTTGGTGAAGTGAAAGGAACTGCAGTATTCAGCACAGAGAAACGGAAGCTAAGGGAGAAAATTGGAAAGGAATGTAGAATGCAGTCTGAATTGTCTGGAAAAGTCCAGGAAGCCTATTTGAACCATTTCTGATAATAAACAAAGTTCATTGGTTAGGTTAACCCTCCACATAAGGGGTCAGCAACCCACAGGTCAGTTCCAGCCCATAGAGCCATTTGTTTTGCCCCATGGACATGGGGCTTCAGCACCATTTGGGGGGGGTGGGGGGGTGGCATCCATTGCTGTTCCCATGCTGCTGCTGGGAAAAGCAGTGGCAGCACTTGCCCTCCCACCTGCTTCTAACTCGGACAGAATCAATTCAGCTCACAGTCTAAAAGGTTGCTGATCACTACTCTAAACATATAGAAGAGCCCAGGTCCAGGTCTGTTCTGCCTGCTGAACATCTGTGCACAGCTCTTCCATTCTTGCAGCCTAGTGTGTCTCCAGAGCATGTTAGTGTGCAGCTGGAGGTTATCTACCAACAGTCAAAAGGAAATTCCAGGTATGTGGTGGAGGAGAAGGGAAAAGGGTGAATGCCAACTCATCAGGTATCTGACTCAGGGCAGCACAGTACATGCCTCCATCTTGGAACCCTACTCTGCCCTGGGTGGGGGAGAAGGAAGAACCACTGGCTACCTCTTTTCTGTCTATTGGTAAGGGCATTGTCCCAGAAGACCTGGAATCTAGGCTCCTCAGCAGCAGGGGATTCGAACCCACATCTTCCATTTCTGAGGAGTGTGCCCTGGCTGCCACACTATGAGTAAGCAGGCCTAAGACTATCTTCCCTGTTGAAACTGAACCACTGGATGAAAGAGAATGCAAGAGTCATGGACCAGAAAGAGAGCAAACAAGGGATTCTGAGCGAAGCTCATGGAGAGGGCACTACCCTGAGATCAGAGGGGAGCTTGCTTTCTGGTGCTTGCTTCCAAGGCTATCTTTCCATTTTTCATTAAACAGTCATTGGGTAAAATGCATAAACAACCTTGGGAGCAGGATTAAATGCTAGAAGCAATGGGGAGGCTGAACTAACTGAGCTTGGGGGCCACTTTAAGCATAGAGTTGTGGTGGTGGTGATGTGTGTTCCTACCAAACTGACTAATGTGGGAAAGGTCTGTGTGCTGCATGTTTCCTTATTGTGTGGTTTGTAGAGTCCTAGCTCCCCAAGTCTGTGTTCCACAGAGATCCCTTTGATCCTGGTTATACTTTGGAAACAACAGATTTTGTCTCTTTTCGTATTGTTCTGTGACACAACAGTGATTAAATAAAGCAACACTGTTTGCTAATTGTCTCTTACAATATTTCTGTGCAGTAGTTTGAACAACTTTGTGGGGTGGGGGCAGGGGTGGAGGGAGGAGAAAATGGAGGCTAAAAAGCACACTTTTTGAGAAGATTTAGCCAGGAAGACCCTGAGAACTCTATGTGCATGGGTGTTTCAAAGTCTCAATGTGCATGATACACTGTCACTCTTAAAAATATAACCTTTTTGTCTGGGAACTTGGTTATCACTAGGAACCTTGAAGGACGTGTATCAGCCATTGAAATTTGCTTTAATTTACATTTTTGTTTTTATTTTAGGTGAAGGAATTCTAATTTCTTCAGAGGCTACTGAACTTTTGGATTTTATAGATGAACAAGGACAAGTGCATGTGATTCAGAAATACCTTGAAAAGCCTTTACTCTTAGAGCCAGGTCATCGCAAATTTGATATTAGGTAACCTTTTCTACTTACACTTTGATTGCTTTCCCAAGCCCAAAAGATGTGTGTGGAGGAGGGGAGGTGGAGGAGTATAATGTAGCCGGAAAAAAAACATAAAGGTTCAAATGCATTTTATCTCATTTAAAAAAATGACTTAATGTTGTTGTTTTTTTTCCTCCTAATTTTTAGAAGCTGGGTTCTAGTGGATCACCAGTATAATATCTACCTCTACAGAGAGGGTGTCCTCCGGACCTCTTCAGAACCGTACAATAGTGCTAATTTCCGAGACAAAACCTGCCATTTGACCAATCACTGCATCCAGAAAGAATATTCTAAAAACTATGGAAAATATGAAGAAGGGAATGAAATGTTCTTTGAGGAATTTAATCAGTATCTGATGAGTTCTTTGAACACTACGTTGGAGAGTAGTATTTTATCACAAATCAAAAACATAATAAGGTAACTTCTTGCTGCTGATGTTTGCTTGTGTTATGATCATGTTCAGAGGTACAGCCAGGATCCCATTGCAGTACAGGTAATACATTCCATGCAGTCTCAGTAGACCCTGGAGACAAAAGAACTGTCCCTGTTTCCTAAATGTAGGATGAGGCATGGGGATTAAGTGATTGCTTGAGGTATCACAGGATGCAGCTATTCACAGGAAATTGATCCAAGATCTGTAGGGTCTCAGACCAGTGCCAAAGGGTGTGTCTGCACTCCAAATACATGTCTGATGCTCTCAGACATGCTACATTGTTTTGCTTGCGTGCCATCTCCCAAGCAGGAGGCAAAGCAGCCACAGCCATGCAACAGGGTGGGTGGATCTGTCAACTGGCTGTCCTCCTGATCAGTGCTAATTAGTCCACCTAGAGAGCCATGCAGATGTGGCTACACTGCTGATGTGGGCAGTGGTGCTTGTAGAGCAGAATGGCACCTGTGAGTGTGATGCTGCCTGGGACAATAAATGTGTGGTATGGACATGGCTTCATTGTTGCTCTCTTGAATGTCTGGCTCCTGGGACTGAGAAAATCTGTTGAATTAATTAGTCAGGGGGGAAATATTTTGTATTTGGGGGTCTATAATTTAATTTCACTCTACTTTTATGTTAGATTATGTGAGTCTTTGTGTTTTCTGGGGTTTATTAGAATATGAATTGTAGGAGATCATTCAGATGTTGCTGCTGTTTTCAGTTCAAAAGAGCATGAGATGTTTACAAGCTCTGGGGAAAAGATGGATTCTGTGCAGAAAAGCTCTGATCTCAAGGTTGTTACTCCTCTTCTCAGTAGCCTTTGCTCCCTGAGCCTGGTCACTGAAGTCAGCAAAACCAGCTCCCTCGATTAAGGCCTTACAGGATCAGTCTCCTTCACTGGGCCACATACAATGGGCAGAGGGGAGAAAACAGTCACTTTAACACAGTCCTCTAAAGTGAAATATCTGATCTCCTTTTGATTTACGAGCTTTTTGTGGATAGCGGGACAAACAAGTTTTTTGATAGCTACATAATCTCAATTCAAAATGAAATAGAAAACAACAATATCTGTGTGTCTATACTTCATGTGGAATGAATGCCACTGCATGGAGTCTGCTAGGGTTTCTGTACCGGGATTGTATGTTTTATAATGCACCTGTTTTTGTAGGAAGTTTAGATTTCTTTTTCTTTTTTCTTTTTTTAAAGAAATGTGTCCCCTAAAACAGTAGATAAACTGCTGCTTGTACTTACAACACAAGTATATTCACTCACTCACTCACTCACTCACTCACTCTCGTACACACACAAGCGTGTTTGCTTGCTTATAAGGTGATATGCCTCGTTTATAAGGGTGATATCACCCTGAGAAATCCTTGCCTGCTGCATAATTTCTGGACCATCATGACTACAATATCACTCTTACACTACTATGTTTATAAATACACTAGCCAATTGCCTGTCAAGAATGATGGGGGAGTGGGGGGTGGGGGGATGGAGCCCTGGGTCCCCCCTGTCTGGGCCTGTTCTCCCTTCCCTCCTGCTGCTTGGGGTCTGGGCCCACTCCCCCCCTTGCCTACTGCAGTGGCGGGGGGAAACGGGGAAAGGGAGGAGCAGGCCTGGGTCCGAGGGTGGGGAGAAGCCAGGCTGCCATGGCAGGGGGACAGGAACAGCAGGCTTGGGACCAGTGCAGGGGTGGGGGAGGAGTGGGCGCAGGCCCGACGGGCAGGAGGCTCACTCCTCCCCTCCCCCTGCAGCTGCTGGGTTGGGCCGGTCACCCTGGGCCCCCCCTGCTGCTCGGGCCTGCTCCCCCCACCCTCAATGTTGGGCCTGGGCCCACTCCCCACCCCACACACACACACACACACACACATTGGACCCGGGTCTGTTTCCTGCTGCCCCCACATTACCTGCAGGGATCAGGGCTGGCCTGACTCCCCCCTTCTGTCCACTCCGCTGTTGCCTTCTGTCAGAATGCTTCTTCGCGCTCTGATTGACTGTTTGTCAGCCAATCCGAGTGCAAATAAAGCATTACAGACAGACAGACTTAGGCTTTTATAATATTAGAATTTTATGTTTAAAACTAGCAAATTGTCCATCATGAATGATGGGGCATGCAGGTGGAGATGCAGCGCCGCCACCCAGTGCCCCATGGTGCCACCACTCTGCCTCTGGCCCCGTGCACTAGAGTGGGGCGGGCCAGCGCCAGCAAGGCCAGTGCTGCGCAGCCAGCACCCTGCTCCATCCCCACCATCATGGTGGTGCTCTGCCGTCCCAGTCTGTCCCTGCCTCCCTCTCTGCCTCCAAGGAGCAGGTTGGGGGGAGGAGGGCGAGACCACCGCTGACCTTGTCCCCCCCTCTCTGGCCCCTCAGTCCTGCTGTCATGGCGGTGCTCCACCTGGTGTGTCTGTCTGTGCAGAGAACTCTGGTTGTTTCAGTCAGTATTGTGATTGGCTGCCAAGACAACCAATCAGAGTGCAAATAAACCATTAGGGATGGACAGACTTCGGCTTTTATTATATTAGAATGCATTACAGGCAGACTTGTTGACTTGTTAGTGCTGTCTCCGGTTAGTTGCCCAATGCATTCCCAGTAGAAGATGTTGTTTTTGATTGTTTACAGCTTTGCCAAACTTCTACTGATGAGACTGAAGTTTTCATGCTGAATGGCTGCCTCAGTCAAGGTGAATCTTTTTGGAAAGCTTCAGTAAAAACAAAACCTTCAGCTGCTTCTCAGATGGAAATTGGAGAACACGACTGTTTTGCCTTGTTAAGGAAAATCTATCAACCATTTAGCAGAGAAAGGCTTTGCACGTGCTCAGTCGCATACGTGCTTTACTTAATGTGCATTAAATCTAGTATCTCCAGGCACCTGTAAACATGTGGGGAGGCTGTTCCAATGCATTATACTTACAGCATGTCAGAGCAGACTCGATTTGAGTCTGCTGGGGTGTGCTAATTAACACACTTCAGCCAGCCCCTGCATCTCATGTATCAGCATCCCCACATTTCAAACTGGCAGCATCACACTTTAAATCTTATTGGGAATGCTGACACATGAGATACTGTAGGTGCTTTACTTAGCGCAGGTCTTGGAGCTGCTCTAATTAAAGCACCCCTCCATCCCCAGAGCACTTGTAAAAACGCCTTCCATTGTGAGGTACTAGGAAAAAGTGCATTAGAGTGTCTTAATATGCATTAACTAAAGAGTACCTTTTTAAGTGATGTTTAAAGCACAAAAGCCTATTTTTAATGTGCATTAAATGAAAAGAACTTTTTTTATGCAACACTTTAATGTGTGTTAAAGTGCACATGTAGACATGTCTACTGAGTATGTTCCATGTTTTCACAGTTCCACCATAGCACCTGGACAGTACCTGCACTGTCCCTGTTGAGCAAGCTCCAGTCTAGAGGCTCAGGGTCTGAGTAGAATCCTCCTCGTAGAGCTCTTCCTGGAACTGAGAAGGGGAAGAATGTGTCTTTGCCCTCATTGTTGTTCATCTGGAGCCAGGGCACAGAAGCAGCAGCTGCCAGACTGATATGGACTGGACAAGAATTTGGGTTTGTGCGATGATGAGGAGGGATGGATTTGGACAAGGAGATTGGGACTGTGAGAAGGGAAGACTTGAAGCCTTGGTGCATACAAAGGAAGATTGGGGGAACTGGGCGAGGAAACTTGAATAAGGCTTCTATATGAGGGAAATGGGGAAGACCTGAGATCAAACAAGGAGTAGAGCAAGAGAGACTCAATATGGCCGGCAAAGAGAGTGGAACTGGTGTTGCAGTTAAAAACTGGATTTTAAGGGTGCATTGGCCATCATCTTTGTAAACTCATGGCGATCAGGACAGGTCCCGGATGATTGGAAAAAGGCAACCATAGTGCCCATATTTAAGAAAGGGAAAAAGGAGGATCCAGGGAATTACAGACCAGGAGGAACAGTCAGCATGGATTCACCAAGGGCAAGTCATGCCTGACCAACCTGACTGCCTTCTGTGATGACATGTATGGCTCTGGGAGGTCATAGGGGGTGTGCATCCCCGGATCTGCACACACAGCAGGGCAGACTGCCTCTGTGGGCTGAGGCTTGGGTGGCACTGGGCTGTTCCCAGCAGGGGGCTGGGCCATGCTGCACTTGGGGTGGGTGGTAGCGGCACTGGGAGGGGGCCTATAGGAGCTGCTGCAGCCACCCCAGAATTTGGCATAGCCTCCGATCTCCCTCCTAGTGCCGCCTGGTCCAACACCCACACCGGGAAGAGTTCGGAGCTACCCTGGCCCCAGCCCGCAGTGGCAGCCCACCCGCACGCAGATCCAGAGGCACTTGCTCCCCATCCCTCATACCCTCCTGGGGTGCATGCAGCAGCGGAAGCACAGAATGCACTCCCCCTGCCCCGCCATTCAGACCCTCACGGCTCTGCCGGAAGGGGGTGACTGCAGTGCCTCTTCACTGTAGTCTATTGCCTGAGGGTGGCAGCCCAGTGGCCAATCATAAGAGCGGGCTGGGGAGGCGCCATGATGTGCTGTGTGGGGCCAGTGGTGCCTGGCACGTCCCTCCCCTGGGGAAGAGGCGAAGTGTGGGAACGCACCACGGGAGATGCCGCAGGATGTGCTCCATCCCCGCCCGCCTGCCTGCACATACCCCCTACAATCTTTCTAGGTACCTCTGGTTGACAACCCCTGACTTAGACGAATTGGAGGATCAAGCCAGAAGGAATCTCATGAGGTTCAACAAGGACAAGTGCAAAGTCTTTCACTTAGGACAGAAGAATCCCATGCACCGGTACAGGCTGGGGGCTGACTGGCTGGGCAGCAGCTCTGCAGAAAAGGACCTGGGGGTTACAGTGGACAGTAAGCTGAATATTAGTCAACAGTGTGCCCTTGTTGTCAAGAAGGCTAACAGCATACTGGGCTGCATTGATAGGTGAGTTATCAGATCAAGGGAAGTGATTATTCCCCTCTATTCAGCACTGATGAGGGCACATCTGGAGTACTGCGT